TGGTGGAGCGAAATTAAATCTGCAGGGAGTTTTGCATCCCAGATATTAATAACAAACTACCCAGCAAGGTAGGCCCTTCTTTCCACCTTCAAAAGGATGGAGGGGAGGAAGAACTTGTCTGTGGTTGAGCACAAGACTATGAATCAGAGAATCAGAGTCCATATCCCAGCTCTGCCATGGAGCAGGTCCCTGGATTTCAATACACCCTGATGTCCACAGGCAACTGTCCCATAAAGCATTCCCTGATTTCAACTGCAATCACAGTGCTCAGCATCTTTGGGAAAAGCCAGTCTGTGTCTGTAGGACAGGGCTAAACACCTCCCCACCTTCCAGAGGCACCGGGATGCTAAAATCCATTAGGAAAGTGCCTTCAGACGTGTGGGTGGAAAGCACCAAACAAGGTCAGAGCGTTATTAATGGCACTGAAAAACGAGCCACCAGTGATTCCAGATCTCAGATGCAGTTGGCCCACTTTAATTTCTCACATCATGTGTCTACAGGACATTGGCTACAAAGACCTGAGATAACCCACCCTGTTACCTCAAAGCAACTGTTGAAAGTCCCACATAAATTAATAAGTTGAAGTTTCCTTGGGCAGTGACTGTCAGAGCAGGGAGAAGAGTTAGACAAGGAGGTCCTGAGGGAGGGGAACCCTCCTGCAGAGAGCAGGGCAGTAACACACTGGTTTTAGAAGGGGGAAATTCTTCAACAGACCCAGCTGAAAAGGCTTTCTAGGAAGCCTGTTAGAAGGAGATATTTATCCTTATTACATTCCCTGATTGGTGTAAACCAAAGAAAACAAAGAATAGGAGTAAAGAACCAACAGCAAAATTGAAGCTGTGCTGAGCCCTGCTCAAGGACATCAGTGCCTGCTTGTCTGTCTTAAATATTGTCAGGTCTCACAGCAGGAGCACCTTCACATCGATCTGATTAATGGTAATGACAGGTTTGATAAACAAATGACAGCCTGTCTTGCAAGGGTCAGCCTTTTGCTGGAATGAAAGCACATGGCATATTTGGATACGGAGCACATGCAGATCCTGCTCAGCCCTGCCAGCACAGCTCACACAAAACCTTTCAGCTTTATTTCCAAAGGGACATGTTCCCTCTCCCAGCACTGAAAACAGCTCAGTGCTTGAGAGCAGGAAGGGCTTGGAGAGATCTGAGCCTGCATTCCCTCCCTGGCACCCAGACTGTGTCACTGCCAGGACCAGCGTGGTCCTGCACATCACTTCCCTGATGGAAAAGCCATCAGGGATTCAGCAGCTGTGCCTTTTCCTCCTCCAGCTGCAGGTCAATGCTCAGCCCTGTGTGCTGGGCTACAACACTCCCACCAGGCACACAAGCCCTGGCATCTCCCAAAACCATCAGCCCCAGCTCCGTGTGTGTATTCCAGAAGGCAGTATATTATCCCAGGGATTAACTCCAGACACCTGGCTCTCCAGAACAGCTCTCTTCAGAGCCAGCTACAAAAACAAACCATCCAGTATTTCCTAAAGGCTGAACGCTGAGGAGACCAGGAATTAAACCAAACCAAGCCTGGTGAGACCACAGCAGCACCTGGGGAGGATCAGCACATTCCAGCCAGGGAAAGCTCCCATCCCAACACTTCCAGCCCTTCTCCTGGTCCCACTCGATGCCTTTCCCTGGCAAAACTCAAGCCCTGCTCACAGAGTTACCCAGTTCAGTCTCTGCCACGCTCTGGCCACGATCCCAAACCATCAGGAGGCAGATGTCCCTCTCCACGCTGCCAGCAGCAAAGGTGAAAGTTTATTACTGTCTCTTTGCATTTCCCTTGATATAAACAGGAAACAACCAGCATTAGAGTCCCTGGCTGAAAAGCCAAACCAGATAGGCAAGGCAGAAGATGCTCTTTTTTCCATACACACCCTTTTCCCTCTCATTCACATACAAATTACTGCTGCATCCAGGTGGGAGGAGAGTTTGAAGGGAGGGGGGGGGGAAAGAAACGTTTGCCAAATAGGTTGAGGGATCAGAAGGAGCTTTCTCATAAAGCACAGGGCTGACCCACAAACTGCAAGAAAACCTCAAACTCCGCAGAGAGTTTCCCTCCTCCCCGTTTGCAGGGTGAGAGCAGCCACGGCAGGGAATTGGTAGGCAAGGAAGGGGTCTAACCAGGTCACTCCACCCTTCTCTTCCCGCCTGGAGCACAACATGGGAGGGAAGCAGACCTGAAATGTAGGCCATCTACAAAGACTGGGGGAGAGGCTTAAACGATGTGAGATTTATGATCTTCAAAGTGATTAGCGCCCAGCACTCCAAATAAAGTCAAAGGCAGCTCAGCAGCTCCTCAGCAGTCAGGTTGGAGTTGGGTTTCAAACCATCCTTCTCTGGCTTCGGGTTGAAAACTTGAATTGCAAGCTAACGAATAAAAAAAAAAAAGCCACCCAAAGCCAACCTCAAACCCCAAACCAAATTAAAAAACCCACCAACCTCCACCCCTAATGAAAGAGCTCAGCACCTGATTTCACATGAAAACACTTTGATATTTCCATCTCTCCTCTCTTCCTTTTTTCTCGTCATTTGAAATCTATTTGCTGAATTGAGGGCGAATTCACCAACAGCTGAGGTCAACCCAAAATGTGAGTGTGGAACCCGTGTGCATTCGGGCTCATGCTCATTTAAGATAATAATTTAAAATAATAATAATTACTATTATTATTATTATTTTAAATAACAATAATTCAAAATAATAATTATTATTTTAAATAATAATAATAATTTTAAATAAGCCTACACGTGGCCAAGAGAGAGCCAAGAGAGGGAGACAAAGAGCCACTTGCTGTGGCCACTCATGGACTGTTACATCCCCATCCCTGACATCACTGCAAAACCCTGTGGGCAGACACTGTTCTGGGGCGTTGGACCAGATTAAAAACAAAATGAGACAATAAAATGAGCTTGTTCACAGCCTTTTGCTTTTTAAACCCTGTGAAATCCCCAGTCAGGTTTGCTACTCACTCACAGGGAGGTGCTGGCACAAACGAACGAGGTTTTGTGTCGCCCCTTTGTTTTTAAGGAAAAAAAAATATAAAGCACTAGCGGGAAGTGAATGCTACAAAAAAAACCCTCAAATTTCTTTTGAGAAATGTGACAAAACAAATTTTAGCAAACAGAACCACGATTTCTTTTTAGGGGGAAGATGTTTCTACCAAGCCAACTCTACTGACAGCAAGCCTGGCTTTCCCCACCCCCCCAACTTCACCAGCATGGTTCGGTGACATGCAGAGGAGCAGGACCCTAAAAACAGTGGGTCAGAGCACTTCTGATGCTCCACCACAGTCAGTCAAGTCTCCTTGATTAACCCCAGCTTCCAGCTCCAACAACTTTGTGGTGGTGTTGCCATAGGAAAAGTTTGCACCGTGGAAGGATCTCGTGCTTATTTCTATCTGGAGGGAATTTTCTTTTATCGCTGCTTACGAGCAGATTGGATTCTTCTCCTGGCGCGTGGAAAGCCTGTGCTCTGGGCTCTGCAATCCACAGAGCTGGAGACACAAGGCTTTTTTGTTTTCAGCTGGGTATTCCAAAAACCTGGAAGATGGCTGAGCGTGTTAAGACACCTCTGATGGGAAGTTATGACCCACCCAGAGCCGGAGCAGCCAAGCCAAACAAACAAACAGCAGCTCGCTGACATGTGTCAGGCAAGAGCCACCAGGGCAAAGCTTGCAGGGCAAAAACAAAGCCACACTGAGAAGGCCCAGCTGTCCCCCTGCTGCAAGCAGGGAACCTTTGGAAAGGGATGTAAGCCTTGAGCTCAGGGAATGCAGAGCTGGGAGCAGGGAGGTTGCTGTGCTGCCAATATCTGCTGCGAGTGCTCGTGGCTGTCCAAGGAGTTACAGCCCCTGTTGCTTCCCTGGCTCCAGCTCTCCATCCAACCCCCAGAGTCCTGCAGCAGCTCAGGGGGTTGGCTCTTTTTCCTCTTTTGCTTTACAGGTTCTGAGCCCAGTCCTGGTGGCCACAGGAGCCCTCAGCTCTGGACTCAGAGAGCGTTTTCATAGGATCCCAGAATGGTTTGGGCTGGAAGGAACCTTAAACACCAGATTGTTCCACCCTCCTGCCATGGGCAGGGACATCTTCCACTAGCCCAGGTTGCTCCAAGCCCAATCCAACCTGGCCTTGAACACTCCCAGGGATGGAGCACCCACAGCTTCTCTGGGCAACCTGTGCCAGGGCCTCCCCACCCTCACACATGTCTGCACAGATTCAAGAGCTCCAGAGGGCTGTCACCTTCTGAGGTGACACCCAGCGATTCCTTAGAGCCACAAATGAAAACCTCCAGGCACTCAGTACATCGTTTTTAGCAAAAAAAAAAAAAACAACTCAGGGGTTGTTTTAAGTGCACAAAGCAGGAGAACAGCAAACACAGCAGAGACAACGGTCCCTCCTGTGCTCACTGACAACAGGGGCTCACCTGCCCCACGAGCAGCACTGCCTTTATCTGCTGTCCCTTTCCCCACTGCCTTGCAAAGAGCAATCTGGGGTAGGCAGGCTTGGTCTTGACCTACACACTCCAAGACCTCAAACCACCTCGTCTTTTTAGTCCTTGCTGATACTCCTGTGAGTCAGCCCTGTACCTTTGGCCTCGCACATCACAGCACTCCCAGTGTCACAGGGCACGGGGCTCTGGGGAGGGATTTGCACATCTGCCACTCTAACTGAGGTGCCTTTTGTTTCTAAGTGATAATAGAAAATAAAAAAATTAAAAGGCCAGCAAAACCCTCAAGCAAGTGGTCATTTAAAGAAACTCTGTAATTAGCTGAACTTCTATGAAATAGGAAGAGGGAAAGCAGAGGTGAGATTTGTCATTCTATCCCACAAGGGGAATTGGGAAGAAGTTGTGTGGTCTGTTTGATGGCAGCTTCTGCCCTAACAGTTTTTATCTCTCAGCAGGAGCTGCCTGGGACTCGGCATGATGAGCAATTAAAAAACAGTCATCCAAGAAAGCAGGAGAATACCTGGTAACCCAGGGAGAGTCTTACCTGCCTGTTAAAGTCCAGCCCATTCTGTTCATTGCCTACAAGGAAACAAACAGAAAAATATCTCAGTATTGATGACAGTGAGCACTGGTGGGAGATTTCCAGAACTTAGAACACATGGAAGCAAAGCCATGGGGCTGGCTCAGCTCAGAGCAAGGAGAGGAGGAGGAAGGGGGAGTCACTGGGAACGCAGCAGTGGAAGGATGAAATCAGCTTTTACAACATTTAATGCTATCAGCCTTTGCTGAAGGATAATAGAAGGGTTTCTTCCCGGGAGATACCTGGCCAAGCAGCAAAGGGTGGGGGAAATCTCCCTGAGTGCAAGGGAGATTCCAGCAGGGGTGAGCTGGAGGACATCACAGATCTCCAGGGAAAGCTGGGACTAAGGCACTGCACGTAATAAAGCCTGGACTAACTGTGGGAAAGGCCAGCAAACAGGTGGCCAGGGCTGTTAGCCTGGGATCTTCAGGAACCCATGTGGCACTGGGTAATTACGGGATATCTGAAGGAACAGAGGGTGCCGTGGGGTTGTGCTCAAGAGGCGTCTCCTTGATTCCAAAAGAGATTGGCAGGCACAGGGGGAAAAATCAGACAGGTTTCAGCCTGAAGGTACCGCACAGGCCCTCACTCATTCCCCTTTGATGATAAACATCCCCCCCCCCTCCATCACACCTGCCAAATTCATCAAGAACATCACAGAGGAAAGGTTGTGCTCTCCACAGTTATGAATGCTTTAAGGGATTCCACGAAGCTCTTTAGCTGCAAAGGCAACCCCAAGAAACCCCTTCCCTTTGCAATACATTCCCCAAGTCATTCTCTTCCAGTCCAACCGAGTTTGTGATAAACAGCCTTAAATTGTTCACATCCCACCAACACAAGCCCTCGGGGGCTCCTCCCGCTGTTTTTTCCAGTATAACGTTCCCCAGAAAGCAGAGCCCGTGCCCTGTGATCTGATCAAGCTCCAACACATCGTGTTTCTCAGCAGTTCATGTCTCCTGCAAAGAGCTGGAAAGCTGCTGGGAGAGGCTGTGCAGGCAGGAGTGCAAATCCAGCTCTCCCATGGACTTGCTTTCCTCAGCTGAACGAGCCTTTGCCCTAACCCAGCCTGCAGTTTTCCATGCACACAACATTCCCAGGTGAATCAGCGTGGCCCTTTGAGATCCTCAGGGGGAGTGTGCTTGGTACAATTACTCATGGATGGCAAAATATTTGAGAGGCAACGATAACAGTTTCATGGCAGCCTCTCGTTCTCTGCTATCTAGAAACAGCTCTGGAGATTTAATCTGAAACATTTAACAGCACTGACTGTGGAAGCTGAGCTGCAGGACTTTGCCACAGCACTGTTTAACAGCAGAACAAGCTGTTGCCCCCATCGACTCTGAGATCTCCTCTATCTCCTCACCATCTGCACCTCAACCACGATCCAGCTCCGTGCCCTCTCCCCCAGCCTGGCTGCATTTCTGCTCTGCTCCAGCCTGCCCTCGCTTCCTGCCTTCCCCCCGACCTGCTCCTCAAAGCTTTCTCTCTTCCCAATCTCAGGTCTTTATCTCCTTCCATGCAATCCCCTGCTCCTGCTACAACCTCCAACTTGCCACGTGCTCCCCCCTCCTGCCTCTCCTCCGTAGCCATCTGCTCCCTGACCACCTCTCTCCAGCTGCTCCCGCCCCGGGAATCGGGGTTCATTCATTGCCTTCCAGCCAACAACTGCACAGCCACCGATGGGAATGCTGATAGTGCTAATGGATGATCACAATCAGCATCCACACACCTGAGCAGGACTCCAGGAGGATCTTCAAGGCCTGCAGTTTCTACCTTTGAAACCCACGGTGAAGGGGAGGGGGGGGGTGTTGATGCAATCTGAAGGCAGTAGCTAAAGGGAAGAAAAGCGAGGAGAGAAGGAGGAAATAAAAGTTCCCAGTTGCTAAAATAGAACAGGAAGGAAAAGGTAATCTCCTGGTTTCTTGGATACAGGAGTTTCACTCACGGTTCGAGTGCAGCATGTTGATGAGGCAACATTCAAAGGCCTTGAGGGAGATCCCGAGGTCCTGGTGAAGGTGTCTGAGTCACCACCATACACCCCAAAACTTGGAACCTGGGATGTGCAGCTGGAACAGTTTCCCTGTACATCGCCACCACCAGGCCCAAGTTCTCCTGCACGGTCTTTCCTCCTCTTCCAAGCTTCCCACCTCTTACTTTTTCCAGACTTTGACCTGCCTTTGCCCCTTCCTCTCCTCCAAGGTCAGACACAGCGTCCTCCAGGTTCTACCCACTGAGGGTCAACAGGGGGAGACTGGGGGCACCTCAGCCAGGAATTCTGTGACTGCAAATATTCCTGGAGACTGACACTAACTCAGGGGTAACCTGGGTGTCTCAGTCTGAGAGAACTGCCCCGGGCTGCCACGGGAGACAGCGAGGAGCAATAGGCACCTCCAGAGGCCATTCATCCCACCTATCTCAGACACCCATCTCCAGCTGAGATGAATGGCCCTCTGGAGATGACTATTCCTCTTAATTGATTCCCAAGGGACCCAGGGGCAACTAGTTCGGGCTTAGATGTCCAAGAGTGAGATATTTAAAACTGGGCGAGGTGATTCCTGCTCCCAGTGGTTATGTAAATGGGAGCTGGATACACAAATCTCTTCAAGGCTTCAGCAGGACCAGCCAGTGTTTGTGCACAGATTTATTTGCAAACAAATCTGGTCTTTTTCTACTTCAGTTAATGTAAAGTTAAAGTGATTCCAGCTGCAAGGCAAAGTTTGGGTGTGATAGGGATAACAACTCTCCCCTTTCAGTTAAATGGTAACTTTGCTGCAAATATTTTAAAAATAGACTCGGTTTCCTCCCAGTTTCTGTCAACATCAGGACTCACACTGCAGTAGTCATCTCTCCTGAAAGGAACGGGCTGTTCAAACACTCTGCACTTAAGATTTTATCTTTTCTAGCTCCAGGAGATAAAAAGAAAGAAAAGTGTAAGTGGCAGCAGATTCTCTCCTGCTGTAAACTGCCAGAACTCCACTAATTTTAATGGAGCTTCAGCCCAGCCAACAATTTGCCTCTTGCTACACCAGCCAGATACAATGGGATCCAAAATCTCCAGCATCTGCAAGATGCAGTCCTGCCCTCCCTGAATTGCATCAAACCGGGGGAAGCCCTGAGATTGAAACCGGGCAAGGCTGCCCTGAGCTCCTGCACTACAATTCCCAGGAGCTTCCCCACAAACGAGGCTCTTTCTGGGTGTTCCGGACAGGGAAGGGGAGGCGGGGGGGGGAAAGCAGCGATAAACTCAGTTTAGCACGGCAGACCAGGACTGTGCAGCTCTCCTTGGTTCACCTGGCAGCTGTTTTGCATAGCACTGGCATCAGATCTGGTGCGAGTTTGCCTGGGGAGGTTTCTCTGGGGATGGGAGAAGCAGAACAGTTCCGGACAACTTTCCCCCCCCCCTCCTCACCCCCTGCCTGTTCCCCCCCTCCCGGGACGCGGCGTTCGCTCTGGAAAAGCGGAGCCAGGAGCTCCATCACGATTCCCGCTGGAAGCTGCAGAGCCAGTCGGGCACTCGGGGATGAAAGCACCGTCATGGGGAGAGAAGGAAAATCAGGGTTGCAGCGCTCCTTCATCTCCTCCAAAGGCAAACACACGCATGCAGATGTCACCTCCGGGGGGTGACAGCTTCTCACCCAGCGACACCACAGGGATCACCTCGGTCCCCCTCCCACCCGGCCCCGCACTTAATTCACCCCACGGTTTGATCTTGGAAGGGCCGGGGGAATTAGGAGGCGATTTCAATCTTTAACAGGTGTTGGGGAATTCCCACAGGGAATCAGTTTTCTGCCGCAGCGCATTTGGGAGGGAAATTCGGAACAGCTGAACGGGCGATGGGGGAACAGTGCCAGGCAGACACCAGGCAGGGGGTTCGGCTGCCTGGGCTCAGATGTCTTAACTTTTAGGTGTCTAATTGTGAGCCAATTGCTCTAGGCTCCCTTTACAGCCACGGAGAGGAAGGAAGCAGGCGCTTCCAGAGGGCAATTCATCTCACCCCCGAGATAGAGAGCACGGAGATGAATCACCTTCTGGAGACACCTATTTCCATCAGTGACTGCACAAGGAGCCCGGGGTGAGCAGGTCAGACTTCAGCCTCAGAGTATCGAGTATCTAAAATTAAGATTAATCTCACCTATGATGAGGATTTTAGCACCCCAGCTGATAAAGCACAGTGCCACCGGAGATTGGCAGAGCAGGCAGGATGCTGAGAGCCTTTCAACGTGCATTTTCTAAAGGCTGAGAAATTAGCCTGTTCAAATCTCTCCCCTCAAACAACACGCGAAGTTAAAAGATTTACCCGAGTGCTGGTAAAGAAAAGAGTGGCAACAATTACACAGCTATAAACAGTACTTGACCCACACGCTGTAAATGGTGCAAAATGCTCACCTGCACCGAGGAGGATGTGGTTCTATTAAGCAAACAAGACATTCAGCATCAAATACACTCCTCAGGATTTCAATTGACTCTGGAGACTCAAGCAAACACCAAGTCACAGCCCTCACACTGCTGTTCCCAGAGCCACCTTCTCCAGAGCTCCAGCGGTGGGAGCTCACTTAAATCACCTTTTCTGCATGTGGTGGTTACCCCTGATTCCCTCCAGCTGTGCCCACCAGCACAGGGGAGCAGGGACTGCCCTGATCTGTTCCATGGATCCTGCTGGGATGCTTGCTGCTCCCAAGGCACTTAAAAAGTGCTTTTTAAAGGGAGCAGGGCAAATGTGAGCGGGATGGCGAGTTTTTGAGGCTCCGAGGGCACAAACAGCCCAAAGCATCGGAGCATCTCCGTGGGAAAGCTGAGGCTGGGTAGCAAAAGTGAATTTGTGCTGACTCAGACAGCCCCAGACTCCAGGGGAAGCTTTCACTGAGCACTCAAGTGTTTCATTTGGGTGGAAACCCCTGGGTTATAAAAATGCCTTCCCTTTGTCAGCGGTGCCTCAGAGAAACCCCATCCCCAGGTCCCACTGCAGCTCGGAGTGTGATGTTCCCTTCGTGTGGGGCAG